AAAATCAAAAAATACAGTACCTCTACGTAAAAATATGGATGAATATTCCAGCAAAATTTGATCTATGATTACAAATCTATATTTCACTCGTGTCAAATTACTGTATTAAACTCATAAAACAAACAACAAAAAACAGGAAGGAAAAAAATGAGAGAAGGACTCACAGTGATGTTTCAATCTTGGAAAAGTATTCCTCGGAGGTCGTGAACCTCCGATCGGTGCTTCAGGGACGCCTCAGTGACAAGCGCTTTGTAAGCGTTTATAAACAAGGTGGCGTAGTGCAGCCAATGCAGTGACGTGAATTGCGTGCGAGTATGAACGCCGTCGCGCATTTCTTTATATTTCAGTCTGCTCTATAGAAAGAGGAAAAAATAAAATATTTCTATTTTGAATTCGGGTATTTAAAAAAATTAAAATACAAAAGCAACACGTGAATACCGAGACGAGTTCTCTTCAGACTTGACGACAGCAGACCTTTTAAAGCAGCAATCAAGTGTCCTCTTTTTTTTTTTTTTTTTGGTTTTTGGAGAATGTTTTATTTTCGCACAAATAAAAAAGGAATTATAGGAGAAAGTTTTGTGAATGGAATCGTCTAAAAATACAGAATTCTGAGTAAAGTGAAATTTCAGCAACCCCAAAAAGCACATTTCCTTCAGCTAAAATAAGCATAATTTTTTTTTCGAACTTATTCAATTTGGAGATGCGTTTCCTTACAACGAATTTTTGCATGTTTTTGCATGTATAACACTTCTTTTTTTTTACTGTAACATACTAATGATGTCATTAGGTTAACTAAATATTCGCACGCTTTTTTTATTGACGGAAGCAAATTTCATTAAAAAACGCTTGAACGGTTATAATTACAAATTACTTCAACAACTTATCCTTGAAAATTTGAAGAGAAAAAAATTATAAACTTCTAGATTTGAGCTGGCATATGAGCTCACGGATCGTTAGAATCCCCAAGAAGCATTTTTCAAGCACAAAATCGCAGAATTTCGTGCAGAAACGATAAATATCGGACAATATCTCATTTACCAGTTCTTTTCAGAAATTGACAAAAAAGGTCGATGCTAATTTCTCTGAAAGAAAGAGCCGGAAACGACGGTCACAAAGCTCAGGGACTGGAAAAGCAGAGATTAATATCAATTTTTTGCACGCCAAAAGCTGTTTTAAAATGGGGGGATGTGTAATAATAAGTTTAAGCTCGCTTGAAAAACTTCTTTGTTTGATGGTTGTGAATTGATTTTCTCAATTACAAAATTTTAATGTTTTCCCTTGTAAATCTATACCTGGATTTTTTTAAACCAAGTACTGTAAATAAATGCCAAGTCATGAAAAATTCAGAAACTGTGATCAAAGAGCTCAGCCTCGAAAAGAGCCAGGAAACCACAGACACAGAGCTCAGCCATCTAGGAAAATCATGATGACGTTCAAATTTTTATTTTTTTGGCCACGCCAAAATTTTGGAATGCACGACCTGATCATAATAAAAATTTAGATTGCCCATCGGCGCTTTTTCCCCAAAGAAATTTTTAAAATGATCGTATTCCTTTGTTTTCTTTTTGCAAATATATTTCAGTTTGCAGCCCAACAAAAAAAAGAAAAAAGAGCCCGGAACCGCGGTCACAGAGCTCAGCCACCTCGAAATTCACGAGTTCAAGAGCATCCTTCTTTCGCAAAGAACAAAACAAAACGCGAATAGAATAAACCTGCGCATTGCCAAAACTGCAGCTCGTTTAAAAATGCTTTTTCTGATGCTAAAAATGAAAACTCTCCTCAGCTCGAATTTTTTTTTTTTTTAGAGACTTTGCACGTAAGCCCCTCAAAACACAAGAGCCCTGAAACCCGGTCACAGAGCTCATCTATATAAGAGCCATCCAGAGATGCTCAAGTTCAAGATCACTGCTCCTGAAGAAATGTGGATTATTGTGACCAAGAAGCTATAATAGTTTGCTTACTATAAAACCATTTTTGAATCATGCTTTGTGATTATATTCAAATTATGATTGCCTGATGCCATTACTTATTGAAAAGAGTGAGCCAGAAGCATGATCAAAGAGCTCAGCCACCTTTAAAGGTGCACACATTTTATACTTTTTCACACATTCACACAGAATATGAATCAAATACACTTGAGTGATTATCAATCTGTTTTTCTTCTTGAAAATTCACTATGTTGAAAAAATTGCCTCTATTTCAAAGAGCAGACAGCTCTTATGAGTGGATAAGTTTATTCAGAAGGAAGTATGGTAGTTCTACCACATTTAATTTTGTTTTTTAAGAAAAGTAACGCTTCAGTAAAACGGCTGGTTTAATGAAAGGAAAGCACTTTTCATTTCAAAAGTTTGCCCTTCATTCCATCAGAAATGTCCTTATTCACTAATTATGATTGATTTTTGAATGATCTGTTTTGGAAGCACTTTAAAGTAATTATTGCTTATTTCCTAAAAAAAACTGTCTAAAATGTCTTGAAAACGAAGAATCTGAATACCAAACTTTTTTATGAAGAATTTTCCAACAGCACCCCCAGGAGTTCTTTGTAACAAGATTTTGCCAATTTTCAAATGAACACTGCTGGATTTAAATGTTAGTATTCTTCCAGTCAAATATGTGGCAAATCAATCAGTCATGAAGAGCCGCGAAACAGCATAGTCACAGAGCTTTTCAGCCACCCCAAGATGCACACTTTCAAATGATTCACACCACAATTAATAATCCAACAGCATAATAATGGATTAATGGTATTTCAAGAATAATAAGCATTGCCAAAAATTCAGCTTGCTAAAAATTGGCATAATTTGCCACATTTTCATCCTAATTCAAACATTTTTACATTTAAACAATTACGTAACATCCAATATCACTTGAAAATCATTTCATACAAACGCTTCCTGAGTCAAAAGAAATTAACTTTCCTTTAAATGTGACACATGTCACAGAAAAGAACCAATAAGAATCATATAGTCACTGAGCTCAGTCACAACAAGAAGCAGAAGTTGAATATCATTCATAGCATACAGTACTTGTTCATAAAGCTTAATTTCCAAACATTACTCCACTTGCCAAAACTGACACAAATCATCACAATTCTATCTTGATTCAAATATTTTTTGCAATAAGTATGTCACAGTGCGTATCTGGAAAGAGCCAGGAGGAAATACAGTCATTGAGCTCAGCCACTCAGAGATGAACAATAGTTTAGTATGTCATTTTCTGGGAAGTTCAGTAGAATTTAAAACAATTGTACCATTACATAATACCCAACTGGTTGCTTGGAAATGGCTTTCATGAGAGGAACTTTTTGTGATTGAAATGTCATCATTGTTCCCTTGGAACATGTCGTAGTCCATAAAAACAGAGTGAGAAGCCATTGTCACAGAGCTCATCAGTAAAAAAAAATGCATAAGCTCAATATCATTCCATCAGCAGAAGCAAACATTGTTATGTTTATCAAAACTGACACAAATCATCTTGATTTGAATATATCTTCCCTTTAATCTTATCACATTGCTTCTGGAAAGAGCCAGAAGGAAACACAGTCACAGAGCTCAGGCCATCCCTATAGTTGCTCAAGTTCAATGTTATTTCTGCAAATTTCAATAGAATATGCAGATATACACTTGAACATATACAGAATACTCACTTGCTTATTGCAAATACCTTACATAAAACCCCTCTCTGATTCAAATCTTAGCAATCTTTTCTTGGAACGTTTTGCAGTCCATAAAAAAAAGATTGAGAGGTCATTGTCACAGAGCTCATTAGTCACACCACAAAATGCAGAAGTTCAATATCATTTCATCTGCAGTTATATACCAAAAAATGTTCTGGTTGCCACAACAGACACAAATCATCTCAATTCAAATAAAGCTACAGTACAGTATTTGCTTTAATTCTGCCACTGGGCTTGTCTGAAAAGAGCCAGAAGGAAACCATAGTCACAGAGCTCAGCCCACCCCTAGTTGCACAATTTCAATGTTATTTTCTGCAAATTTCAGTAGAATTTGCAGATATACTCTTGAACAAATACAGAATACTCACTTGCTTATTGCAAATACCTTACATAAAAACCCTCTCTGATTCAAATCTTAGGAATCTTTTCTTGGAACGTTTTGCAGTCCATGAAAAAAAAGATTGAGAGGTCATTGTCACAGAGCTCATTAGTTACACCACAAAATGCAGAAGTTCAATATCATTTCATCTGCAGTTTATATACCAAACAATGTTCTGGTTGCCAAAAACAGACACAAATCATCTCAATTCGAATAAATCCAAAGTACAGTATTTCCTTTAATTCTACCACTGGGCTTGTCTGAAAAGAGCCAGAAGGAAACCATAGTCACAGAGCTCAGCCACCCCTAGTTGCTCAAGTTCAATGTTATTTAAAAGTTCAGTAGAATATGCAGCTATGCTTGAGCAAATGCAGAATACTCACTGGCTTGCAAATACCTTACATAAAAGCCCTCTCTGATTCAAATCTTAGCAATATTTTCTTGAAACGTTCTGCAGTCCATGAAAAAAAAGAGTGAGAAGTCATTGTCACAGAGCTCATTAGTCACACCACAAAATGCAGCAGTCCAATATCATTTCTTCTGCAGTTATATACCAAACAATGTTCTGGTTGCCAAAACAGCATAGACACAAATCATCTCAATTCAAATAAATCCACAGTACAGTATTTCCTTTAACTCTGCCACTGGGCTTGTCTGAAAAGAGCCAGAAAGAAATCATAGTCACAGAGCTCAGCCACCCCGGAGATGCACAAGTTCAAGATCATCCCTTCGCGGCTCATAAAGCGCAGGAAGGAACGCGTTCTGAACCCGAGCCGAGAAATTAGTCGACTGGCAAAACCCCCCGCACCCTCAAACACACCAGATTCCTAGCCCACCGCGAATGCTATTTAAAAACAAAAGCAATAACTACAAAAAAAGAAAGAAAAAGAAAAAAGGAAACAGATGTGGGGAACCCGAAAAGAAAAAAAAAATATATATAACGCTTCACCCAGGGAAAAAACCTCCTTGTGGCGCCAAGTCTCGTCGTCCCTCACTGGAACTCGACGACGTCGAATTCGCAACAAACTCCCCTCCCTCCCTCCCTCCCGACGCCGCCGACGACGACGACGACGACGACGACGACGTCGACGTTGTCGTCGACAGCGACAGGAAATAAACCTCGAGAGCTGTCCCACTTTTCCTGCCGTTTTTTTTGTTGTTGCCTGAAATTTTTTTGTAGAAGTTGTGTGTGTGTGTGTGTGCGTGTGTTTTTTTTTTGCCAGAAAATTTTGTGCCGATTCCCTTGCTTGGTGTTGACAGTGGCGATCGCGTGGCGTAAAAAAAAAGGACGTGAAGGACCGAGACGGTTTATTAAAAGACTACATGCGCGTGTGAACTCTAAAGACTCCCCCCTTTACTTCTCAGTCCTTTGAAACTTCTAATTAATCTAGAAATTTTTGTATAAATATATTCGAATGTGTTTCGGCAGGAATTTATGACGTGGTTTGTTTGATTCAACGAGGTCTTCATTATTGGGGATGGGAAGAATGGCATTTCTTCCAACTTGGCGCTAATTTTTCATCTTCTTCATGGTAAATAACTAAATATCATGCAAATGTTGTGTGCGTATTCATGTTTCTTTTTTTGGACGTTTTGGGACAAATTTTTAGCTTGAAATTGGCAATGGTGAAGCAGACCGAATTAAATTTTTGCACTCGCGGGCTCAGCCAAATAATTATGTGATATTTTCACGAGGATTTTTTGTATTTGCATCGGAACACTTTGTAGTCAAATTGTTTCTCTTTATTTAATATGCCGCACAGATTTTCACAGGAATTTCTGAAATTTCATGGGAATTTATCAAGAGAATTGTAAGAAACAATGCGGTCGTCAATTTGGATATTTGCAGTTCTTTCAACCTTGTGCAAAATTTAAATCATTAGTATCTTGAATTTTTGTATTTTTTCAGTCAGAATATTATTTGCATATTCCCTGGTTCAATTTTGAAGATTCATTCATTTTTTTCTGCACTTCCTGATTTCGCAGAATAATTTAATATTCATAGATGGGAAGTTATTGAAATATTTTTTGATTAAACGAGAACATTTCTTTGCTAAATTGTTATCTGCACCATTTTTTTAACGGGTAGACAATTTTGTGCCAATTCCGTTGCTCGTTGTCGACAATGCCAAATCATATCCGTAATTTTTATTCATTTTTTCGCTCTTTCTGCCTCTGCCAAATACGTTTCTGCTGGACACATTTATTGCGTTTTTTTTTGCAGAATTAATGCAGAGCATCGGGAAAACCCAAAGATTTTCTTTCTGTTCAATTTTCTAATATGAGTTGGATTTTCGAGAGATTTATTTGTTTTGGGCTGAAAGAGGTTCGTTGAAAAAAAAATGAATTCGCGCGAATTTTTCTCTTTTCCGCGAATGTTCCTTAATTTATTTGTGTTTTTATCGAATCGAAATTTGTGTGGGCAGAAGTATTTATTTTTGGTGTTGAAAGAGGCAATAAAGCAACCCAATTTGTTTTTTCCTGACTTTGCCAAATAGGTTTTCAATAATTGTGAGCATGACATATTTCTCCTTTTTTTTTTCTTGATCCTCGACAAATTTCAGAACAATTGACGTACGTTTTGGACAATTTAAAGGGTCATGAGACAAATTCACTTGGAAGCAAATCTGTTCCTCTTTCTCCTGCCGGCAATCCGCAACAATTGTTCTCTGATTTCAGAGGTCAAATTCTCAGAGATGCTTGACTTTGTAGAATCCGAGTCATGAAGGCTAAAGGCGTTGAATCCCTGCGATTTCGACCTGACGTCACTGAAAGACCTGGCCGAAGAAGACACGAGATCCCGGGAATGAGTCGCGGGTTGCATCACTACGTTCGAAGACGAATACGATGCCTTATTATTATGGGATTCGTAGTAGCCGTATTCCTTCATATCATCGTCATTGCTAGTGTGTTTGGTCATTGAGGGAATCGGCTGAAACATGGCCGAACCCGTGCTTTTCCTGGGTCTGACTCTTTCCAAAAGGGACTTGAGTCTCGAAGGGGTTGACGTGTCAAAGGATTTCGATCTGACGGATTCTTCTTTTCTGCCGGTGGGTTTCGTATCTGAGATCTTGGGTTTCTTGTTATTATTATTCGGACTGTCCACGACGATGACGGGTTCGGATGCTGAGGGTTTCGAGGATTTCAAGATGGGTTTCGCTCTTCCTTCCTCGGATCTCTTTTGTGCTGTTGATGGGGGTTCTTCCGAGGATTTCTTCACTTCCTGTTTCGGCTTTGGGACTTTATTCGAAGAGAGGGCCGGGATTTTGAAATTTTGTTTCAAAAGTGTCAAGGATATTCCGGGAGACGCGATTGGAGAGGCTTTATGATTATTATTGTGGTCAGTTGAGTTTTTCTTGGTTTGATGCGTCTTTTTTTCGGAGGGTTTCAATAAGTCGAGGGATTTCGACCTTTGTTTCGATTTCGTTTCCATGCTGAGTTTGATGGGGTCATTCAAAAGTAGTTTAACGGCAGCAGGTTTTATCACGGGTCCCGACGGGTTCAATAACTCCTTGTTGTGATGTTTGATGATGGATTTATTACTCGGTTGATGTTTGCTCATCATCATCATAGAAGGTGAAGCTGATGACTTGCTTCTGCGCTTTATTCTCATGGCTGCAATCTCCCTTTTGTAGTCCTCTGTTTTTGAATGGATTTGACTGAGTTCGAGTTTGAGGGTTTTGAGTTGGTTTGTGATTGGAAAGTCTTCATAGACTTTGAAGTTGCTTTGGCCAGCTGCAGTTTCCATGGGAGTCTTTCCTTGCTGGTTCCTGATGTTGAAATTGGCCTTGTAGTGAAGCAAGACCAAAATGCACTCTCTTTCCATGGCATAGTGAAGAGGAGTGTTGCCTCTAAGATCTTGGACATTTGGGTTTGCCCCTTTTTTGGAAAAAAAATGAAGGCAAAAAAAAATAAAAAATTTAGAGAGATTGAGCTACATTCAAGTATTGGAATTGAACATAAAGTTCAAGCTTTTAAAAATGTGAATCTGGGAAATTTTGTGGATCCCTGCATCATGAAACTGTAAGGTTTTTGCTGGGCATTAAAAAGTTGTCAGGCAAAACTTGATACCCCTCTAAATATTTTTTTTAAAAGAATTTGATTAACATTTGGCAAGATAGCATTTCAAAAAATGTGTTCCTCCATGCAGAGATTCAAAAAATGTTGGTCTAACATTTGTGCAGAGTTTCTTCCTCACTTTCTAAAATTGCTGGAGGCATTGAGATTAAAAGAATTTTTTTATAGAAAACCTACAGATACACACTCAAAGTACACAATAACAAGTATAAGCAGTAGAACACATTTAAATTACATAAAAAATGGAAAACAATGGAATTGAATCATCTCACTTGTATTTCATGGTGAGAGCAATTTTAAAGCTTGCTTATTCAATGTCTCAATGAGCACATATCAAACAAAATGTTATCTAAAATTTTAGGTTTATTGCTAATAAACCTTAAATACAGTATTATAGGTACTTTCCAGTTATCTCAGTACCCAGTTTTCTTTGTCTTGTGAATTCAGTATTTGTTAGGTTAGGTCAGGTTATGTTAGTTACAAATATCTTTCAATAACTCAAGTGAATTCAGTGAATTCAAGTGAATTCAAGTATCTTTCAAGTGAATTCAGTATTTGTTAGGTTAGGTCAGGTTATGTTAGTTACAAATATCTTTCAATAAGCTGACCTAACCTAACCTAACAAATACTGAATTCACAAGACAAAGAAAAATGGGTACTGAGATAACAGGAAAGTACCGTATTATATTACAGTATAACCAGATGCCCATAGTATTTCTTGATTTTTTTTACAAAACGACATTACAAGGAAGAGGCCAAGATTTATTTTTTGGTATAACTTACAATGAATATGTTGTTAGAATTTTATTATTCTTGGATAAACACGGTACACTACTGTTTTAGAACTCTTCATACCAAGTTCCAGAAGAATCCCAATCTTCTTTGGAAAATCTGATCTGAAGGGAATGATGAAGACTAGGTAGTGAAGCAGAGTGAACCCATGATACAAAGGGTTATTGAGGTTGGGGAAGGTTTCATTGACATATTTGAAAAATGCCCTGGGGTCCATGTTTGTAGCATTTGCAATAAATGTCACAGTTGGTTTGTTGGTTGCATGTTTCTTCCTGTTCAGCACAGCTACAACTGTCTCTTTGCTCAATTCCATGCCATGTCTATGTTGGAATCCCCAAGGAAGCAAGAAATAACTCAAATCACTGGGGTGATATACAAATCTAAATTAACTTTGTTACCTTCTGGATTGGATGGCATTTGCCTCTTCAACATGTGCCACTAGGTCCAAGAGGGCTGCCATGCCCAAAGGAGAATACAATTCATTGTTTCTTGCATAGATGTCAGCCTTGCGCCTCACCAAGGTCCTGACAGCATTTGGCTGCATTTCTCTAACAGCATAATGCAAGGCAGTGTTGCCAGTGCTGTCTTTGGCATTAATGGGCACTCCTGGAACACTTATTGCAATTATGCATGTGTGTTTGGTGCAATATACAGTACTTGAAACAATTAATACCTATTTTTAAAAGGAGGTCTATTATGAAATGATTGCCCTGCTTTGCAGCCAAATGAAGTCCACAGAATTGCCTTGAACTGTCTGATGCCTCTGTAATTAAGGAGCCCATGTCAACATCATGGCGTCTCAGTGTCCCTGCCACACATCTGTAGCAATTGCATCTGATGGCTTTCAGAAGACGCAGTTTCCAACTGGCTGGGCCTTGTTTGTCCTCAGTAGTTGCCCATTGAAGGTAATCATGTGAACTGCCAAAAGCTCTTGTGGTGTATAATCTATGAATTCCTGTGTTGTGTACCCTGGGCTTTTCAATTAGTGGGTCTTGTTGACTGGTTTTTGCATTAGACAGTCTTTTGGTCTGTGCATGCTCTGCATTTTGGAAGCCAAATCTGTCTTGTTCTCCACTGTCTCTGGCTGAGGTGAGCTTGTTGTGGGAAACTGACCTTGCATTGGCACTCAGACTGCATAGGGAGCCCACATGACCCATTAATTGCTTGTTGACTTCATCAAAAAAAGTTCAAGGAATTGTTCAGGAGTGTTTTAAGAACTTAAACTGAGGTTTGCTGGATACATAAGTTTCTGATTCAGAATCCCCACTATTGCATAAATACAATATTAGACTGAAAGTCAGCTTCTGCTCATTTCCAGCAATTGCAGCAACGTCTGACCTTCCAATTGAAATTTTAGAACCCCCTTCACATCCAATACATTAATGAAACAATTATTTTAAGGTATCAGAATATTTTTCAGATCTTGGACATTTTAATTGGAAAAAAAGTTGCTGTCCTTTCAAGTTGTATTATTGGACTGGCTTTTGAAAAAATATCTGCCAAATAAATCTGGCAATATTTCAAATTTTCATATCCTGGACATTGTGGCTGAAAAGCATTTTGAAGTTTTTCAAGTCCCTGCTGATACAGATATTGTATACCTTGCAAATGAGGTTGGTAAACTTTACTTGAAGTGATGTTTCTTTCACTTTTATATTTCTTTTTCATTTCAAAATGGATGAAGGAACCTGGAAACTATGGGGTCTAAAATTATAAAAATGGATCTGTAGGGTGTATGTCCTTCTGCTACCAAAAGAGAAATGTATGCCTGAAAACATTCTTGTAATCAACCCTTATTCATAATAACCTGATGCGATTAAGGTCACTGTTTCCAATGGTTTCATCATCATCCTCCTCTTCACTTTCTCCTGAAGAAGACTCTGAAGACTGAGATGAATCCTGAACAATAGTTGAAGAAGCATGCTTCAAGCTGCTCAAATTCTGTTGGTTTCTGCGCTTATTCATCACAGATTCCATTCTCTGCACCAACACGTGATCAATCTGCTTGAGAATTTCCACCATGTTGCTTCTGTATCTTTGCTTGGCCACATAGAATTTCCTTGCTCTGGCCAGGAGCCTTTTGGAAGAATTGACATTACAGTACAGTCAACCCTTGCTTAATGTTTTTAGGTGGTGCAGTGGGAAAAAACGTTAGCTGAAAAAAACGTTAAGCAAGGTAGTCTCTCCCTTAAGATATAAGGGAGAAACGTTTAATTGGTGTCAGGCAAAATTTTCTAAAGGTAAAATTCAGAAAAAAATTAAAGTTTCTCACATAAGGTTGTACTGAGCTTTATGCACTGCCATTACATTCAAAAAGTAACCACAGTTCTTCACTCAATTAAAATCAGAGATTCATTTCAAACAAGGAAAGGTCTTAGTGTTACCCAAAATTCAGTGTGTGACACTGCAATTGTTCATAAAATAATTGTAACACCACACAGGAAACACATTTAAAGCTGTGGAAAAAGTCACTTTCAAGAAAATGTACAGGAGGGAGGGAGGGATGCATCCACATTGATCACCTGTTGCCACACAACTGCAAATTGTTAAGCAGATTTCGGAATGTTAAGCAAGGGGATTTTTTCTCACAGGACCAGGAACGTTAAGTGAAAAAACGTTCAGCAAACAGAACGTTAACCAAGGGTTGACTGTATTAGTTTTTGAGAGGGTGCTTCAAGATAACTCACTTGAAATGTTCTGTCAAAGTAGGATAGACATTGAGTAACCTTTGAGTCAGCAGTGCTTGTCTGTCAACTTTGGATTCCAAGTTTGGCTTGAATGTTACCTTGATTTTTGGGGATGGTTTTGCTCCATACTCCAAAAGTGACATTGTTTTCATGAACCGCTTCTTCACAGGAGGTGACCCTGCAATCAACTGAAGAGCTGTTTGACCTTGTGCATTCTTGAGTCCTGGGTCAGCCCCATATTTCAGCAAAAGGTTAACCATGAGACTGTCAAAATGAAGGTTTTAAAACATAATCAAGAACGCTTTGGGGTTACAAAAAAAAATCCAAGCTCACTTGTCTCCTCTGGTGACAGCCAATTGCAATGGGGTTCGCACAGTCTCCGCAGATTTAGATTTCAAGTCACTACCATGCTCAAGCAAACTTTTCACTATTGGTTTAGAGTTTTGCACCACTGCCAGTTGCAAAGGTGCAATCCATTGCTTGAGCCACTGTCCAGAGTCTTGCACAAAGCCAAATTCTCTTAGAACAGGCAAGAATGGTCTCATCAGGAGGATGAAATTTGGACTGTCAACCAGCTTGTTGTCCAACAAATGGTCAACTACATTTTTCTCTCTGTTGATAATGGCTAGAATGAGGTGAAATTTCCAACAGTCAAATGCTCTGCCCAGGATCCTGTCACAATTCCAAGTCAGACTTGCTCCTCTGTCTGTCAAAATCCTTACACAAGTGGGGTGATTCCTTTCCAGGGCAAACTCCAAAGGGGAAATCAGTCTGCAAAGTTTTCAAAAATTATCAGTAAAATATGTGATGAATGCAGTTATGGAAGCATTATGTCAGAAGAATTGTTCTGTATGTATACAGTACTTTATTAGCAAAACTAATCCTTTCCAGGTGGAGTTAATATTATGTAACAGTATTTTCTTCAAATTCTGCAGGTTGAATTTTTTTTAATAGAATATCTCATAAAAATAAATTGTTGTTTTCAAGAAAATATTTTTACAATTCATGAAGGGCATGAAAACTGTTATGCATTGTTATCATTGGGAAATTCTTGATGTAATAATTGTTGAGACATCCTGTGTAAGAAATCTCCAAGATCTTGTGCCTTGTGTGGAAATTGTGGTTGAGTGAATAATATTACTCTGCTGGAAAGTCTTGTGTTTATTCATATCTACAAAGGAGATACTCAAATCTAGTGATATTGAACAATCTTGTACTTGGCAAATATAGGCAACACTATGTTTTGATATGACTACTTTTTGTTGTTGTCCCTATGAAGAATATTTCTACAGGTTTTAATAAATGTATTTTCATGAAATTGCAGTTTTAATGGCATTTTTCAATTCTGTACCAGACAGTCATGAAATTTCATCAACAAACATGAAGTGCTACATAATAATGAAATGTTAACTGTAAATCTATAATGCAGTATTGCATGAAACTGGAACAATTCTGACAATTGTAAGCCATCAAGTTTCTCTAATTCGAAAATTTTTGGGATAGGAGAGGAAAATTCCAGGTTATTCCATTTTAAATAATATACAAAATCCTGTAGGTTTAAACTAAAAATTAAGTGAAATCCATTAATGTTTTGGAGGATAACTTTTTTTGAAATTTTTTTCCAGTCGCATTTTGTGAAATTTTTTTTCCAGTCACTTTTTGTGAAATTTTTTTCCAGTCACTTTTTGTGAAATTTTTTTCCAGTCACTTTTTCTCAGGTTTAAATTTTGTTAAGGATTTTTTTTTAAATCCAAGTAATTTTTTTGAATGCCGGGAATCACTTTTTTCTACCTAGTTGTCAGGAGTCTGTGATCAGCTCCATTGTCCAACAAGATCCTGACGCATTGCGGATGACCATAAGCAGACGCCAAATGCAACGGCGTGACGTCATTTTTCCTGTTGAGCGCATTTGGATCAGCCCCTGCTTTGATCAGTGTTTCTAGAATTTTCGCTCTCCCGTAGGCAGCTGCAAAGTGGACAGCAGTGTAACCCAGGTCTGAGGCATCCAGCACCAGTCGACTTCTGCTCAGAAAGAACTTTATTTTCTGGTAGTCTCCCACTGCTGCAGCATGGAACACACAACCCGAGTCATTGAAGTCTCCTCTTTTGGTGTCCTCATTCACGCCTCCAGAACCGAAAATGAACACTGGGAAATATGATTGGTTTATTTTATTTGTTGGTGAAATTCTGACAAGTTTAATTGCAGAGATTTCCTTGTATAGCAAGATAGTAATGTGATGGCTACATTCTGAGATCATTTTTTATTGTGAGGTTTTTTGAATTGAATTGAACAACTTTATTTTCTGCTTTTCAGCATTCCCTCCCCACCCACTCTCATCCAAACACATTCCATTATTTTCACAATGGAAAACAGATAAATTAGCTGTATGTAGATATTAAAAGAAAGGAAAATACATCCTAAAATGTACAATTGCACAACTGATGTAAATACATACACTTTCTTCCCTTCCCTGATAACAAAAACAAAATTACAGTAATAAGACTTGCAACATAAAGCAATTACTAAACCCAAATTGAAGCACAAGGGGTTCAGCCTGTCCCTAGATGAGGTTGTCACTTTTGTTGTGAAAAAGTGTAATCATTAAATTATTTCCTGGGGATAAAAATTGTAACAAATATAATTCTCTTCCAGTGAACATAAATTTTTACATTTTAACAGCATTCCTGAGAGAGAAACAACTTTTTAAAAATTTTAAAATTATGCAAAGAGCCTAAATTTTGAACTGTAATCTCCAAACTCTCTGGAAATCAGGCCTTTTATTGGGATCAGATACATATTGGCAGAAAATTTTTCTAATGAAATTGTTTATCATGATCTTAATATGTTTTTCTTGTTTGATTTCAGAATGTCTTTCCCCAACTTCTTATGTAAATATTTATTGTGCAGATACTGAATTATTATTTTTTTTAAATAAATAAAGTCTCTCATTTTATTGTTTAATCAATTCACTCAGCAATTTTGGTATGCAAGTCATTTTTAATGCGGATATTTTGATTTGCAGAGTTTTCATCACAACATGATCATTTATTATATGGCGAATCACTGTAACAGGGCATCCAAACCCAACTTTGGATGCAGTCTGTCATACACCTAGCAAAACTTTATAATTTTAGTTCGCATTGTGAGCAGCACGCAGGGTTTTTTTTTTAAATCCTAAAATTGATTTATAAGTGGAATACATTATTTCAGGTAAGAAGAATTGATCACAAGAATGACAGAATTCTCAGTTTGATTTTGTTGAAGGATTTATGGTTTCCATACCCAGCCACTGATTAAAAAAATTGGTTTGTGGTATCAAGTGTTACTCTTGCTACAATGATTTTCACTGTGCGACGATTTTCAGCGAAATTCTCTCGATAAGGAAAATTCTTCTGCTCCCTTAAATTTTGTTGCAGAGAGGATCCACTTGTTTTGTGGCGGAATTAAAAGCGATTACCTTCAAGTTTGAAAAGATATAAAATACTTTTTTGAATTATTATATTATGTACCCGGCTTGTGCTTCATGCCCAAAATTTAAAGGCTGCATCATCATCATTCGTATAAATTTTTTGAAAATGTGTTCAGACGAATTATATCCACGGAATAATGCCCGGATTTTTGGAAAGACCCTCTCTCTGTTAGCCGTGGTGATGATGATGTGCACAAGCAGTGTTACCAACAGGCGGAGTTGTCGAGACCCGGAATGACGGACGCGGAATTCGTCACCGGTGAAGTTGGGGACGTTCTTTCGAAACTAGGTCGATTCGAGAAGACTCTTCTCCGGGCTGAGCTGACCCTGGAAATGACAGATGCTGATGACGAGACCCGGCTTGACGGGCCTTCTCCAGCAATAGTCCTTTTGGGTTCCGCGTCATTGTCGTCTGCTGATGGGTCCGTTTCAGGGTCGATCAGCCCCGAGTCTTCGACACCTTCAAAGTAGGCCTCGTCATAGTGGATTATGAGCTCATTTGGATTGAAGTCGGGTTCTTTAACATCTCCTGCGTGTATTGATGACGATATGGGAATTAGAGAGACAGTTTTATAATTGGGAATTATTCCTTGTATGAAATACTGTACAGTATTGAGACCCCCACATGCGGACACCTCGACATGAGGACAATTATAGACATTGGGACATTTATTTTTCAATGAAAAGGGCATGAAAAAGGCCTGGCATATGGACACTGACTCAACATACGGACATTGCATGATAAAATTTCCAATAAATTTCACAAAAATTGACTTTTTTTTGGCTTGATTGCAAGAAACTGATATTTCCAGCCCTGAGATTTATGCAAGGAAAATTCTTTGTCATTTCTCCAATCATTTTCCCATCCATTCAGCTAATTAAAAAAATTATATATTGCATAGAGGGACTTCCTTCTCTCTTTGTGACTTGAACGTTATTTTTGTGGATGCCAAAATTTCAATGTACAGTACAGAGATACACTATTCAATGCTCCAAATTTTCTAATTGAGTTGAAAATATATTCACTGAATCAAATTCAAGTGGCAAAAAATATTTTTCATGGAATTCTGAAGAATATTTCTTACATAAAACACCAATTAAAATGTAAACAGTGTAAGTCTATGGGAAAACAAGACTTGACTTAGGGACAATTCAACTTAAGGACACTCTTGATGCACCAATTAAGTCCACATCTGCAGGTCTCACTGTACTGTATTTGTATATACATATACTCATTTAATGAACATACTTGCCATGATGCAGCTCATCCATGTTATTCAGCGGGTTTTGGCAAAACCATACTGGGTTTCCATACTTGAATCTCCCACTTAGTAGCTGGAATTGGTAATAATAAGCAGTAACTGAGATTAATAAGTATAATCGGTCCGAATGAAGGTGGCTTATGCACAAAGTTTGGAGACTTGTTGATCACGCATCATTTTAATTGATGTATAAACATATATATGAATGTTGATGACTGAGTTGAGGGAAATTCGTAGCTCTGTCTTATTGAATGCATAGAATAGGTCTGTTTTTCAGAGATGAAGCAACTGCAAAATAACACGAGACGCAACCGTGAATAACCGACCAGCAAATTTGTTTCCTTTTCTTTGTGAAGCTTATTCTCATCCGTTTCCTCAATAAGTTCATTTCATTCATATGCTTGAGGCGAAGTATTTTCACGTCATTAATCTGTATTTAATGAAGATATGTATGCAGTTTATTATTTATCCAATTGAAAGTTACAAATTGTGATGTACAATAGTAAAGTTCAGAAGCATTAATTTTTTTAAAATTGTTTCTCGTTAATGTGCTTCCAAAGCTATGTAATAAATAAAATTGGAAACAAATAAGTTGAGGCTAAAAAAATAAAATAATTTTACTTATTAAATGATTTTTTAGAATATAAAGCATATTCCATATATACAATAGTACAATTTACCTTCCTTTTGTTTGGGGTGCTGGTTCACTTGTTATGAGGTACATTGTTATTTATACAGTACAGTATTCCTGTACAATAGATCACTGATAAGCGTATGATATGAACAAGAAATTTTGCATAAATTGTATTTATATCCACAAATGAAAATTATGCAAGCACTGTGCAGAATTATGCACCCATTCCGCTGGAAAGTAGCGAGGCTTTTTTATGTACAGTAATCGGACAAGTTTCAAAAAGTTATACAATACCGCATGTATCTCAATAATATGCTGCTATACCCGTTTTCTCTCCCTAATTCCTGACACTTCCGAGCCAATGTTCAACTTCTTCTTGATCCTCTGAAATTTGACCGCATTAAATTTAAATCATCTTGATAAATCACTGCAACTTTTATCTCTCTTGATTGATACAGTAATAGTATCAGCAGAGCTGTTGCACTGGTTAGCAGTGTTCCCTAACCTTTTTGTGCCCGCGGACTGGCAAATCTCCACAACATTTTTGATAGACCGGCAAATTCCCAAAAAATTGTCTGCGGACTGGCAAAGTTACATTCACTTTTTACAGACTGGAAAAAACTTGGCTTGATAGACTTATTCACGGTAGGTATACAGTATAACAATTTCTGCTTTTTGAAAAAATTAAGTTAAGCACCTATGAAGCAGCTACAGCTGAATGTCATCAAAAACTTAGGAAGATGAAAATTTAAATAATTTCTCTCAGCAGGTAAAAATGTGTCTGAAGTACTGTTACAGTATTAGGATAAAAGCCAACTTCCATGTTTCATCAAATGCTTTCAATTGCCTGTCTTTCCAAAGTTTTTGATAATGATAACTGAGTTCATTGCTATCTTTAATACGTGTATTATGCTGAAATTTCCTGCGGACAGGCAAAAAACTTCTGCGGACCAGCGCTGGTCCGTGGACCCCGGGTTGGGGAACACTGTGTTGGAGTGCGGGACACGGTAAGAATCCCTGTTGTGCATTAACATACTCCAGTGGGCATACCACGAGGGTGTCACACGGTATGGTAAATACGCATTACGGAGTGCTGCCGCGGGGGTCATCAAAATTTATTCGTTAAAGCTCGAGATTTCGATTCAGTGTCAGTTTATTACCGTGATAGGAAATTCACGGACTTGTTTGTGTGTCGAATTCGTCGCTCTTGACAAATCTTTTCGAATGGAAGGCTCAGAGTGTACTTGATTCATTCGCCCTTGTCGGGGAGTAATACTGTATTCTTTGCAGTTCAGTATACTTCGTGACCGTTTGTGAAGTTTAGCTGTTCGTGGCACTTCATGTTTTGTTTTTCTTCCAGACGGTGGTTTTCGAACTGTTATCTGAGGAGTGTAGAATGAGTACTCAGCCAGGTCGAGTAAATCCCCAGGAATTCCTGAAAAACATAGTCGGTAAACCCGTCATGGTGAAATTGAATTCCGGCGTTGATTATCGAGGTATTAATCTATTCCGTTATTTCCTATTTTAAATTCCATGCGTGCAATACTTTTGATGATGTGTCTGACTAGGTATTCTTGCGTGCCTGGATGGTTACATGAACATCGCTTTAGAACAAACGGAGGAGTACGTCAACGGGCAGCTGAAAAACAAGTACGGGGACGCATTCATACGTGGGAACAACGTCTTCTACATCAGCACCCAAAAGCGAAGAGTCTGAATGTTTAGCTGCGTGATTTTTTTACAATGCATTGTTTGTCGATTCTGTGGCATCAGTGATTGAAAGAATTCATCTCCATCATATGACACAGACTCTCTATCGCAGGTTGTACGCGTGGTATGACGTGCGTGCGCATTGCGCCGTCAGTGATTGTATGAAAACCGATTGAAGTTTCTTCATTGAGTGAGCTTTGCATCAGCTCCGCGTGTGTTACGGTGTTTTTTTTTTTTTTTTTTACTATGAATCGCAATGCTCAATCTAAACATCTCTCCCGCCGAGAGCTGGAGGAGATGAAAAAGAAACGCGATGAGGAAGAAGCAGCCAAGGTGTTCGGGGAATTTGTGGCCACTTTTGACGACAGTCCCTTGCCCAAAGCGGACAAAGTTTGGGTTCGTGCTGGAACGTTTGACGCCGGTAGTCGCACCGAAGACAGCAAAGATAGGGGAAAGCTGTATAAACCCGCTTCCAAGCGTGATGTTGAGGTGAAGAAAGAGTTGGATCCGATATTTCCCACTGAAGACAAGCCCGATCGTCCCGGAAAGAAAAAGAAGGATGGCAAAAAGAAGAGCAACTTAGAGTTGTTCAAAGAAGAACTTCAGAAGTGAGTACCTTGTGGTAAAGCGGTTTGATTTCACGTATCTCATTCATTTGTAAAATCAGGATTCAAGAAGAGCGACAAGAAAGATTCAAGCTCAAGCATATGCTCTCATCATCTGACTCTCCATCGGTCAAGGACAAACCCGTAAAACCCGAACCTATTGAGCCCAGGGCGAATATTGGCATTTCTTTGGCGCTCGGTAAGTCTTATTTCTATGATCTATTCATTGCCTCCTAATTGATATTCTTGAATTGATGGAACATGTGTTGATAGTAAGTAATCGGAGAGAACAAACTTGAAGTCCAGGTCATTGTGATGAATTCTTTTGATGCCTTTTGAATGAAATCAACTCAGGATTGTTTTTGTATCAGAAAATAAATTTAATATTCTGAGTCTCTTTTTTAGTCCAGGATTTTGAGCAATTTTGTGGATTGAAGTTGATCTGAAAAGTTTTGTTCTGCTGTGCGAGGCCTGCTTTGACGCGTCAAATATTCTTCTCATTTCGTTCAAAAAATAAAAAAATAATCTTATTTGTAGATGCTCCAGCAGCCGGACCGCCAGGTTCATTTGATAACGGTGATCCAACTACGACAAATCTTTACTTGGGCAATTTGCATCCCAAAGTCAGCGAACAGCAGCTCGTAGAAGTGTTCGGAAAGTACGGACCACTGGCTTCCGTAAAAATCATGTGGCCGAGAACGGATGAAGAGCGTCAACGCGGGAAGAACTGTGGCTTCGTTGCATTTATGACCCGAAAAGACGCTGAACGCGCCATGAAATTTGTGTCAGGTAGGTGAATTGCTTTTTTTTACTGATTCTTCTGGAGTGCCCATTCGAGAGTATTTCAAGGAAGATATTATCAGATGGCATTGAAGAAACGCTTGATTTGTCAGCTCTTCAATTTTGAATCTTGAACGTAAGACGTAGTTCATTTCCACAGTATTTTATGTCAAGGTCAGGTGTGCGCAATATCAGAAAAATCAAATTAATATCATATGTTCTATTTTGAAGGAAATTTTGCTTAGTGACATCTTACACCTGAACTTCAAGTCGTTCTTTTTCTACAATTTTGATATGATCCTTTCAAAGATAGCGCTTTTTCGCTCCACCTCGTAAGCTAGCATTTTGCGTGCTAATCCGAGACGCACGAGGTTTCTGCGTTTTTTGTAAAAAAGAGAAGGCAAAAAAATTTCGGTTTCATTCATACGTACTGAAGTTACTGGAGAAACACGTGCACCTTTTTTCAGGAATTGAAGAAAAATATGGTGCTGTGGTACCCAGAGAGGCATTTTTCCAGAAAAAGTATGGGTACCTCTGAGCCAAAAGAAATAAATGAATGAAGAGGAAATGTGTGGAAAAAATCTACATTTCTTTGAGAAATAATGGTTCAAGCAATAAAAATTTTAGGCATACAGTATATCAGTTAAAGATGGAACAGGAACTTGAGGAAAAGGAAAATAATCAAAATATACATCTAGTTGTGGAAACATATATTGAAAGCACATTTGATCTGTTCTTGCACACAGGAAAAACAAATATTCATGGGGAAGAGAGATCCACGAAAAAATATCCACAATTCTTGATTTTCAGCAACAATAGAACAACTGGAATACGTATCTTGCATGAGGTTCGGTTTTTTGAAAAATTTCGTACACGAAGATAGAGTGCGTGTCTTGATCTAAGGGCGTGTGGTACTGTACTTTAGGTAATACGTTAACTGGTGTCTGAACTTCAAGTGCCCGTAAGTTCGGATTACGTTAGTCTGGTCTCAAATGTGCCCCCGCCAATTTAAGACTTGCTTCTTTGTGGTCGAAATACTGTATTACGATTATCGAGAGGTGTTTCGATTGCTGTATTTATATTTATTTTGCAGGAACCGACTTGATGGGCTTCGAGATGAAGCTGGGATGGGGGAAAGCCGTGCCGAAACCGATGCATCCCGTGTATGTGCCGCCGCAGTTGTTGGAGTTGACGATGCCGCCGCCGCCGTCGGGCCTTCCTTTCAATGCGCAGCCGTTGAGCAAGGACAAAGAATGGGTAATCAGTCGCTGTCCCGACAGTCCTGAACATTTTCCTGCCTCATTTGCCGCGTGTGAAAACTAATCGATGTGGAACTGTGCTTTAGTTGACTGAGATTGGTTTCAAAGGTGAAATACCTTCGGACTCCGACATAAGGGAGCAATTTGATGAGGTGAGCGATTTTCCTCGGTTCTTGTTGATCATGCCGTTGCCTTCGTTGTCTCCAGAAAATTGTGTTCTATGATGTTTGTACAGCATTCGCGAAAGTTAATTTGGTTCTGCTTCAATGCTTTTTAATTTCGGAGAAAAATTGCATCAAGTTGAAACCATGATTTTTGTTGCTTGGGCGTTGATTTGATGCATTCATTTTTTGAAATCGCTGTGTTGAAGTGGAAGAAAAGGAAAAGCAAAAGAACATGGAGGCAACTGTGTAATCATCAAGAACCGAATTTTGAATTGTCCAGATGCCTTAACAACTAATGTACCTTCGCTTGCAAGTTGCTTCAGCGCACAAAATCAGGTAGTGTCGTGTCTCGGGGAGGGTTGATTAACTGAATTATTATCGGCACAGGTGCTGGAGCGATCAATGGTCAAGGTGGTGATTCCGACGGAGCGTCAATTGCTGCATGCCATCCACCGAATGGTCGAGTTCGTCGTACGCGAGGGACCCATGTTCGAGGCGATGATCATGAATCGTGAAATCGCGAACCCGGCGTATAGATTTTTATTCGACAACAAGAGTCCCGCGCATATTTATTACCGGTGGAAATTGTTTTCCTTGCTGCACGGGGAAAATGTGAAGGACTGGGAAACGAAGGAATTTCGAATGTTCAAAGGTATGTACCAGCGAGAATATTTGCGTGTAATTAATTTTCTTGCGTATTTCAACGGTGTTTTGGCTGGACTTGAGCTTTCTGTCGTGTAGTTCAGAGCCTAATTCTAGTCGGCCTATTTTAAGATTCGCTCTTCATAAATCGAAATGTCGCGTGGAATGAGAAAACTGTTCAAAATTGAGAGATAACTTGATTCACTTTTCGTAGATATGTAGTGAGGATTGGTTGTACGATTTCTTCGCGTTTCGTTCACCATTGAAGTAATTTTTTCGCTTTCAAGGAGCACGATTACTAACAATAAATACAGTTCTACGGCATAGCACTCTAACGAAAAATATAAATTTTCGCTCATTCAGACATTTCTAGACTTGCTGCTAAAAATTATTTTATGCTTTTTTATCTATTGCTTCTCTTCTCTTTTTCTTAAAATTTCAATATGATTCATCTTCAGGTGGTTCTGTGTGGCGTCCGCCGCCGGTGAATCCCTATTCAATGGGAATGCCTGAAGATTTGATCTCTGATGAGGAAGTGTCCAAGGAGGGCTCTGGTGGAGAATCGGATTCCGAGCAGCACGCATCGGATCGAATAAGATCAAAGCGACGCTCGGATGCTCCTCCTACAGTAAAGCGTGGTGGCCTCTCTAATTCGTGAGTACTGCTTATTCTTGCCCGATTTTATGCACGTCGGTGAGGATTATGCACTTTCTCGGTATGACAGGTGTCGCCTGAATCGCTAAGCTGTTTTGAAAATCCGTGCCAGAATTGATTTCTGAATTATTTTAGTCAACTATGCGGCAGATAAAGTTCAACGCACTGTTTGGTAAAACAGTTCAACTCATATACTGTATAGCGTAATGAAACAGCATTCGAGCGACACCTGTGCACTTGAAAACAGAAAGGCAGAATTGGAGACATCGAATGTTGCATGGAAAACCAAATTCTTTTAAAATTGAACCAAATGCGATAATTTTTTGCAAGTAGTGGAGAAATGACCGTGGGTACAAAGCTGAAAAGTATTTTTTTCATAATCGTTTGATGCGAAATCTCTAAGTCCCCTGGTTATTTTGTTTCGATTTGAGCAGACAACGTGACAGATTTGAGGACATGTTGAGGGGTCTAACACCAGATAGAATGACCATCAGTGAGGCCATGGTCTTCTGCATCGAGCATGCAGACTCGGCCAATGAAATCTGCGAGTGCGTCGCGGAATCTCTCTCCATTTTGGAAACCCCGCTGTCGAAAAAGGTTTGTGCAGCATCAGTCGTCGAACTCTTGTAAAGTGCGTCGAAAGTTGTGTGGGGGAAAACGAGGGCAGAAGAAAAGTGTTGGTTTTTTTCTGAATCTACAAATCATTGATCATCGGACTTCCCCCGTTTACAGATCGCTCGGTTATTCCTGGTATCAGACATCCTGCACAATTGCACAGCAAAAGTTTCGAACGCTTCGTACTACCGCAAGGGGTAAAGCTGACTTGTATCGCGATGTGACCTGCTGGAGAGGGCCATCTTGCTTTTTCGGGGGTTTCTTTTATCTTGTCATTTCTGGAGATGACGCCAACTTCTGCAATTTTCTTGATTTGTGGTTACATTTTTTCTGAGCTAGACTAATTGAGGCTTCCCTCATCAAAACGAAAAATCGGATGACATGAAGAAACAGAATAAGTACCTCAATTTTTGAACATAATTTCAGAATACTGTATTTCATAATGCACATCGAACTGTCGTGAATTGTTAAATCACAGGCTATTAGGTTCGCAGAAAACTGCCTAATTTGTGGAATTTTGAATGTTCCACAAGGAATTGAATTTAAACGAAAGGTGGAAGAATGTCAAAGAAAAAAAGAAAAATCCAACCTTGATTCCATGTTTGCGGCGCTGAGAAATTCAACGCAATTTCTAGTAATAGAATGGTTAATAATGGAACGAGTACAATATGATTTTCCTCGGGATGCGTAACTTGGAATTTTCTTGGAGAAATTTTTCCTAACTGTAGTTAATTGAAATGGGAAATACTGTACTGTACTTTTCTTGCGTGGAAGATATGGAGTAATTCTCGTATCCGCAAATTTGAAGGCCAAAATTTGAGGTACTTTTGATTTCAAAATTCGTTCTCTTGATTCTTCACGTCATGATGAAAGAAGAATTGGTGTACGTGGAAGCTTGTGTTAATCTTGGTTTTCTGTAACGTCTCCTGTACGAAAATTCGAAGATTTCTTCGTTAATTTTTTTTCAACAATGGAGTGCTCACGAAAGAAATTAAAAAATCATATTCCCCGGAAAAGCAATAGTACTCCAACCGGAGTTTTAGTCTCAGCCCTCAAACAGAGACTCTCGTAAGTATGTAGGAAACCAATGGGGATTTTTCTGGCCTTGAACAGGTTTCAAGATCAATTGGACATGATTTTCAAGAGCTTTCGGGAGAAATACGAGAGCGTTGAGAGCCGAATGAAAGCAGAGGCCTTCAAGGCACGAGTGATGCGGGTTTTCAGGGCCTGGGAAGACTGGGCTCTTTACCCGACGGATGTTTTGATCAGATTGCAAAACATCTTCTTGGGCTTGAGTGCCACTGCTAATATGCCAGTAAGATTCCTGTTTTCTCGCTGTGATTAATGCATGTTTTTCTTCTGCATGATTTTCATTGAACAAACAAATACCGGGGAAATTCTGGGTTGATAGCGTCTTTCTCCGAAAAGGCTATATTATGTATCAAGCATGCCTTTTGTAGAGGTAGATCCTCTCTGCAACGAATTTTTGTTTACAGTTTAACAAACGTTTTTGTGTCCCGTGGGTTTTCTGTCCTATTACAGGTGGACTATCTCTGCAACGAAATTAAGGAAACCAATAATTATTTGTAGAGATAATTTCTTTGTAGAGAACCCTCTCCAACATGGGTAGAGAACGTTATGGGGAAAAAATCGTTATACTACAAAGAAATCTGTTGTAGACAAAATATTCGTGGAAAGAATCTGTCAGTGTTGGGGTTCTCTGCGACGAAAACGAAAAAAAAATTTGTTTAAGAGAGAATTTTGGTTTCGGGGTTCTCTACTGCGAAATTCCCTCTACAACGAATTTTTCCTGGTACCCTGAATTTTGTTGTGGAGTCCTTATGTGTACATATACCGGTATATACTGTATATGTTCAAATGATTTGTTTTGCCTGGTCTTGAAGTTCGTGATTTCTTGAAAACGTTGCGGACGCGTCTATTTTCGTTTTAAAATTGATGTATAACCACTCAACTAGTGAAAGCAAAGGAAGAATCAAATCTGCCCTTATTCATAAAAAAATCCTTGTAATTGTACCTTATGAATCTTACACTATATAAAAACGTTGAAGCGACGCTCATGAGGTGGAGATTGAATCCCCGGATTGGGGTACTCATGTGGTATAATAAAAAAATAATGTTCCATGAACAATTCTTGATTTGAAACTAGTCAAGTACTGAAGTTTAACAATTTTCGATTCCGCAGGCGAATAAATGGGAAGCAATGGAAGAACCATCTGCTGGCGAAGAAGACATTGATGGAGTTCCCATTGGAGTTGATCTCGATGGCGTTCCGAGTAAGCACAATAAACGACTACTTTAACAAATTGACTGCATTTAAATCTCGGATCATTTTGAAATTGTTTTGTTTCGTGCAGTGGAGGACCCGGAATTGAAACGCCAAAAGCCTATTATTGACGAAGACATCGACGGAGTACCATTGAAGCGTCTCTCTGCGCAATCTTTGCCTGGTTTCAAGCCGTCAAAGTGGGAAACCGTGGATCCAGTGGCGGTCGCCGACCAAGCAATGACCACGTCCAAATGGGACACACTTGAAGCTGATGAGAAGCCTTTGTCACGATCATCTGGTGGACTGGTGGCCTATGACGATGATGACATTGACGGCGCTCCGATGGAAAGTTCTCCGCCTGACTCCAGGAGTAATTCACCGAAGTCTACCGAGTGAGTCTTTTAAATCATGATTCATCCATGAGTAAATCTTCGCAAAATTTAAAGCAGTGCTGCCTAGCTCACATGTGGCCATAGGCCACACGAATACTTCCTTTGACCTTGGGCCACATTGCAGAGGTGGAGAGGTTTTGCAGGCTGCAATGAACGATACTTTTTTAGGTTCTAAATTTTTCTGTGAATTGAAAAGTTTAAAATGAAAATATTCTGTTCAGTGCTGTGCATCAAATCGAAAGAATAGCATTATAAAATTTTGAAGAACTTTTCGATTTATTTATTCCAATTTTCTTGCTTGTCCCTTGGAAGTCGACTTGAAGAGGTTCAACTGATACCTGGGTTGGTTGACATGATGTTATATTGTGTGCCTTTTGTCAAGTGAACTATTCATGCGACCTTTACATGAGGTTTTAAGAAGTTTCAAGGAAGAACGAACTTGCTTCGTCTGAGAATTGCCGTGATCATAACTTTTCTTGTGAAATTATACTGTATGTGTAAAAATGTATTCTATTGAAGTTTGTTTCTCGCGCTTGGTTCGGTTCCACTGTCTGAAATTATGGATAATCCAAGTAGGTATTTCGCGATTGCCGTTAATCCCATTGGTATGCGTTGATGTGATCCTGATAGACTGTCTTTTGACGTTCTTATTTTCTTATTGCTAAAATTTTATTTTATTTTTTATTCAAGAGACCCACAAATGGCTGAGCAGCGAAGGCTGAAACTCAGAGAGCTTGAAATTAAAGTGATGGAGTACACGGACATGCTGGAATCGGGTCAGAAACCCATGAAACCGGGAATGTCGATGGAGGAACACATAAAAGAATTTAGAAGCCGTCTGATTCGTAAGGTGACTGTTGTCTTTTAATCTTTCTGAAGCATTGTGATGACATTTGTATCATTTTTTCGCGATATTTTTCCAGGTCGAGCGAGACTTGAGGAAAAGTTCGGGGAAAAGCCGAAGGCACAGTTCAAGCTCAGAAGATGACAAAAGGTATAAACTGTTCATATTTGATTAAAAAAAAGTTAATGCAGGTTTTTACTTATTAATGGTAAGAAGGATGGTTAAAATTATTTGCAGTACAGTACCTTGAAACGCATTTCTTTCGTTACTGATGATTTTAGTGTTGAAATTCCTTTAAATGGGATTAATCATAAAACGAACTGAAACAAAAAAGAAACCTGTGCTAATTGTCTTGTGCAGTAATTTTCAATGGCATCCCTAACTTCCGTATCTTATTGCTTACTTGTTGCAATTTTAGATATTAAGTGTGCGTGGTGCTATGCAGACAGCCCACAAATGAGCGAAGCTCGCAAATTTGCGATATACATAAATTGTTTCCAATGCCAAAATAAAGTTTGAAAATTTTATTTTGGCTTTTGCTTGATTCTTGTTCTACCTTTTCCCGATTAAAATCTGAAAATTTGTCAAGCAATGATCAGAAATACGTCGTATCTCCATCTTACCAACTGTACAACACATTGAAGAACCATTGTTTCGTAATGAATATTTTCTGAATATCTGTCTCGGAATTGAATTATTTTTCGATTCTCAGGAGGATTTCGCCGAAAAGAGCGAGAGGCACTCGTTCTCGCTCGCCGCATCATAGACAGCGTTCCAGGTCTCCGAATTCCCGTCACGGAAGGCATCATAAACGAAAATCGAGACATTAATTTATATCTCATTTTCCGTCTTGTCCTATATTTCTACATCACCGTTACGTTCGTTTCATCCGTGGCTGAGAAAGTGTATGATTTTTTTCTGAATCTACCGAACTCCTTCAGAAATTTGCGAAGTTCCATTTCGCATGGTTCTTTTTCCATTCCGCGATCAGGACTTGAACAATAGATTTATCTGGGTTTCCATGTCTTGTATTTCTTGTTCTACCTTTTCGGCCATTTAGGATCGTTCCTTGTCAGCTTGTTTGCACGAACGCAAGTTTAAGAAAATGAAAAATGGCGATGCAGCTGAAAAGGAGCAGAAAATTCGAGCCTAGATTTTTTGAACGGTGCGGGTGCAGTTTTACATTTGTTCGAAGTGATGCTTTTCATGACAGCACGTGTTAAAACAAATCGTAGGAAAAAAGGTTTAAAATATCGATTCACATTAATTATTTGAGCGATGTTGAAAAGCAGTGACGAATAATTATTAAAAGGTGCGAAATAACGTTAATTTATTCTTCTTATTGGAGGCAATATTGTTGTTTTATTGGAGGCAATATATTAAACAGAAAGATCTGTCTAGTTGACAGACTTGAACCGTCTGCATTACAGTACTTGAATCGTCTGCATCATTATCAGACGCTCAACTTTCGATAAGTTGATCATTTTGAGTTTTAATCTTCAATTTGACTGAAAATACAAATTTGGGTCCTCCATACTTCGAGTAAATTCGCAGAAAATCTATCTCGCACTGCAGTTTTTAGTAAACAAAAATGAGAATTTTGATGATCTCTCGAATAAAAATCCTATTCATTATTTTCCAAAAAGTTTTGAATGCTATATAATTCGCATTTTTGTAACTGTTCTGCACAAGTGCTGCATCGTTTTGGATCGCACTAAGCTTTGCAGTATTGCTTTTGAGGTAGACAAGCTGTGGAGAGTGAGATGAACGGTCTTAATTGTGCTTCTTTCTGATAACAATTTGTTTTCATGTCGCTTTTGTTCTTCACTACGCGTCAAGGCATGTGGAAACGACCGGTGTGCAGTGCGGCGTTGACGCGGCGGCTCTTCGCCGCCGCGCCCGCCAAGGCCGCCGAACCAGTGAAGCGACTCGAGAAGATCCTTATTGCTAATCGCGGGGAGATCGCTTGTAGGGTGATGCAGACTGCGAAGCGCATGGGAATCAAAACCGTCGCTGTTTATTCGGATGCGGATCGTGATTCGATGCATGTTCAGATGGTGAGTATACGAGGAAGATTGTGAGTGCCTGGAGAAAATGTCGGTTGAGGCAGGAGAAAAAAAAATGCCCATGTGGAGAATATGCCGGCGAGAGTATAATGGCACGGAAACCATTTTTGAAACACGAAGAACAATGACTTGATGTTTAACTTCGAAATGATTCATGAGATTCCTGTGCTTGGAAACCAGGCTTTTTTTCTATTGGTAGAAAAACAAAAATATGTCGGTTGAAAATGCCGGCAGTTGTTCTCGATTGCGTATGTGGATGTACTGTAGTTCAATTGGTGACTACAGTTCTGTACTGTACTTACTTTTCAAAAGCGAATAAAAATCCATTTATTGTTCATGTACATTTTTTGTTTTGTTTCCACCTTTGGCATTATCTGTACGCAGGCATTTTTACTCCTGGCTTTGTCTTCGCCGACATTCTCTCTTTCCCTCCTTTTTTCTCCTGGCGCTGAACAAAATCTTTGTATTGCTTTAACGGTGTATTTTACAAAGCAATCGAAACGGATTTTATAACGACGGATTTGAACTATCAGGTCCCAATGACTCCATCGTAAATTATCATTGTTTTTTGTTGACAAATCTATGTAAAAAAAATCTTGGGAGATATCGCTTATCAGTTTTGTTCCACTGGTTATTTCATGCACTATTTTTTTTCAAATGGACGGAATTCTGTAGACTTCGTTGAATATATGGTACTTTTGTGATGAGCCATGGAATACAATTTTTAAGAAGTTATTGATGACATTTTCTGCGACATTATGATACAGCTGGGCGCGCTACAACGAAATCCAGGGGACAGAAAAATTCGTTGTAGAGATAATTTAATTTTGGATAACCTCTACATGTGTAGAGATACCTATGGGACCATACAAATCAGAAATACAGAGAAAATCATCGTAGAAAATCTAACTGCATCGCTTCAGAATATGATGACCGTAAATGAGTTATTTATGCCAGGTAAAGTACTCTATATCTTTATTATTTTTTTACCTCTTATGTGTAATGGCAAATTGAAATTGCATATTTTATGAAATGAGCATGAAGATAATTTTTTTCATCTCGAAATTGTGGGTTCACTCTTTCAATTACAGTATTACCCTTCGAAATATTGGTTTCGTCTTGATTTTGCTGTCCTATGTACAGCATTTCATTGTTTTGAGTCAACAAGATTTATCCTGAACGTTACACGAGGGTTTTTATTAATTTTTTCACGCAAGGTAGTTCGTATTCACAGCGAATTGTAACTATTTTTCATTAGTTTTCAACTCGGGAGTTGTGAAAACCGTGCCTTTTGAATTGTGAAGTGACAATCCCAGCTGTGAAGGGGAGAAAGGAAACCCAGCATGAAAGGCTCGTCGTGAAGCGAAAAAGATCACGTTTCTTTGGCTATCTGTTGTGAAATTGGATCTGGGTGTTATTGTGATGTTCAGCCTTTTCACTTTGTCGCAGAACTTAAATTGGAGGGGTGAGGAGTTGTTTCGAAAGGAAAGGAGAGGTGTTCGATTTCCGCAGTCAATCCGGTTTTACACCCTTTTTCAGCCTAGTACAGTACAAGAACTCAATTTGGAAATTGACATCAAATCGTGTGAACAGAAAAACGATTGAGAATTTTTTTTAAAAGTTTGCTGTCAGCATTTGTGGAATTCCGCAATTCTAGGTTAGATTTGCTAAGTAATGTGGTGCAATTTAAAAAAAAAATAGGTGTAAACATTTCCCGAATTGCCCGCGGAAATCAGACTAGTCTCACATTTTCACGAAACTCATGTTTAATTTTCCGAATCATTTCGTTTCACGGTGTGACATATCAAGCCCAAATTCCATGTGTAACTTCATCAGCTGTTCTTGTAATTTAAAAGTTATACAGTATTTCAAGTAATCGGAGGATAATTTTTCGTATGACTTAATTTTTTGCAGGCGGATGAAGCGTTTCACATCGGGCCCCCACCTGCTTTGCAAAGCTACTTGCGACAAAACAGCATACTGGATGTGGCGAAACGAAGTGGTGCTCAAGCCATTCATCCGGGTTATGGATTCCTGTCGGAAAATGCCACCTTTGCAGATCTGTGTCAACAAGAAGGCATTGTTTTCATCGGTCCACCTCCGTCTGCTATTCGGGACATGGGGATCAAAAGGTGACCGGAGTATTTTTAGATTTTATTTGCTGAAAAACAGTAATGATCTTTTCAGAAATGGCGGAACGAATTACGGTGAGGCCATAAAGTCAAAAACCCTGAAAATAGAAGCACAAAATTATCCTGTTTTGGGTCATGAATTATGAGAGTACCGTATTTACTCGAGTACCACGCGCACCTTTTTTCCCAAATTTCAGAAGAAAAAAAAGGGGTGCGTTTCATAAGCGGGTACAACATTTTCAAGAAGTTTTAGGAAGTTATGTATGCATTATACTTGATTATAATGGAGATATTTTGAGCAAATTTAACAAGAAAACATTCTTTACTGAAAAAGTTGAAAATTGATGAGATTTTTGTTCAATTCATGCCTAAAGTCAATTTTTTGGTTTTTATTTGCAAAATTTTGTGGTTTCAGATTCACTAAAAATTGGGGTGTGCGTCTTACTTGGGGATAAGATTTTAGGAAAATTTCCAACTCAAAAACCCCTCTGCGTACCTTACTTGAGGGTGCGTGGTACTCCAGTAAATACGGTATATTTATGAAGTGATTTATGCTGAATTTTTATGAATATAAATGCTGTAGCTGATTTGGTTTGAGATTTCAAAATGTTGTTCACTTTTTTTTTAGTTTGCCGTTGTCTAAAGTTTCAGGACATTTCAAGGATGTCTGGGCAGATTTTGTGAGTTGTGTCCCTAAGTCGAATTTCCTGTATGTCAGTGTGTCCGTATCTCGGGGGTCCAACTTTTATTGGATTAACGTACGAGACATTGACGTTGCTGGAGTCAAAATTAGACGTTTGCAAGATAACAATTGGAGAAACTCGTAGATGACTTGGTGATTCGTTCAAAATGATTCGGCATTCATGGGAAATCAATTTGACGAGGTGTATTTTAATGTTCTGAGAGATTGGCGTTTATTTTCGCACCGGTTCAGGTAAAGAATGAGGAGATATTTTTGAGGAAAGTCCAGAATGTTCTTGACGAGATCGCGTTCAGAAGATCCTTCAGCTGTGTGCAGATGTTCGTCTAACTTTTTATTTGAGATGATGACAATAGCCGATCATTTCTCTGACAGTGCAAGCCCTGTAGCAACAAGCCTCCACCAAGTTCCGAGATCTTTTCATGAATGAATGGGTCGAGGAGGATCCGTTGTTGACCGAAAACGTTTTGTCCGAAAATGCGGCTGAAAACAAAGGAAGAAGATAAATTGAAAATGTTCACTGAGAAAAATTAAAGAAAATCCGTTTCTTTTTGGACTTACCGCGGCGTTTTGCGATTACAGGCGTCGGTACTTTGCCGTGAATTTCGCAAATGATGTTGAGAATGACGAAAAGTTCTTTTCCCCCGCAAGCGACGAGTTTGTCTGTCAGGGTTAGGTCGTGAATGCCTCTCTTTTCTGGTTCTAGCTGAAATTCATTTTCCTTGTCCAATGAGTCAGTGTCGTAGGTGTCTTCATATTCAATTGATGGGCGGAAAACTGGATCGACGTTTTCCCTTGATGCCAATGCCGATAAACTCAACATGGTTGCTTGAGTCGTTGGCAGAATCCTGATACAGAGATTCATGACCAACGCTGTCATTGCCAAGGTCTGCATGCTGCAGCTTCTGCAAAATTTTGAACATTTTTCAGTTCAGTACAGTAGTTATTGAAACAATTCATTATTGGAAAAAATGCGTTTTGTATTTTAATGCAGTGTTTCCCAACAAAACAGCGCTGGTCTGCAGAAAATTATCTTAAGCATAAAAAATTCATCAGAAGTAGCAATGAAGTCTGTCATCTTCATGTGAAATCTCGGAAAGACAATGGCAGTTGAAATCATCTGATGAAAAATCAGACTTGGCTTTTCTGTTCATAACTTGTGTGAGACAGATTTTCACCTGCTGAAATAAATTATTTTCATTTTTTATTCTGAGAAATTGTTTTTCAAGCCCACCTTTCTAATTTGTTGAAGAAATTCCACTACAGCTGCTTCATTGGTTCTTAATATTTTTAAGTGAAACATGAAATTTTTGAATACCTGCTGTGAAGTCTTTCAAACACAAATTTTTTGAGTCTGCCAACATTTTATGAAACTTTGCTGATCTTTAGACATTGTTGGGAAATTTGCTGGCCCGCAAAAAATAAAACAATTGAACCAATGTATTTTTGACAAAAAATCCTTATTCTTATAAATCAGAGCGGTACTTGCCTGGGAAAACTTCAATGTGACTCCAAAAACTTGGTTACAATTTCCTACCTCAAGAAAGTCCTGGGATACTTCTACAGAACCACGTCAACTGATGTTCTGGTCGTATCCCACGTCTCTTTTTATACCCACCCGGAAAGAAGAACCACATGCCTTGAAATCCTGACGGAAAATTTTCTGAAACGTCATACTTCTCAAATTTGATCCCTGCATGAGTTCGTTTTTCTGCGCATCAAAATTGTTCAATGAATATTAAACGCGGCTTAAAACTGCGAGGAATATGCAGATGAATGTGCTTGAATTAAACTGTCCATAACGTCCTGTTTTTTGATCCCGTTGTTGGGGGGGGGGGGGTACCTGTTGTTCATCGGGGTGTTTAATATTAGAACCCCTGGATTGCTCAGTTCTTCATCCTTCCGTATTTTGAATATTCTTGTACGTTTCTTGATGCATTCGATTGACGAGCTGATTTGCCCGAGAAAATATCCCGTGGTATTAGAAATATGTAAAAATCCCTATTCCGTATAATCTTGTGCGTAGATCTCCGATCCGCAAATGAGAGAAACCCCGTTTGAAATTTCCAGCAAGGCAAAGGCGATTATGATTGCAGCCAATGTCCCTGTTGTTCCTGGATATCATGGTGATGGTCAGAGCCTGGAAGAGCTGAGACTCGAAGCTGACAAAATCGGATTCCCAGTGATGATCAAGGCTGTTCTCGGAGGTGGTGGTAAAGTGAGTTTTTGTTTGATTGTTTGAACAATTTTAATTTCTTATAAATTTTATACGGTTGAAGCTCAATAACTCGAATGCCTCCCCATCAAAATTTTCGCTAATTTGATGGCTTCCCCCCCCCCCCCCCCCTTAAACCTCGATTAATCAAAATTTCTCAAGGTCTTTTGGGCTCTTATTTTCGTGACTCAGAAAAAAAATCAATGAACATGTGAATTGACCTATTGAAGGAACTTACAGAATGATTGAGCAAATAAACTATTGCCTCGAAATTCAGTATCCTGTCGACTTGGTATTTTTGGACCAAAGAGACGGAACAATTCCAAATTCCTTCAATCCTTTTTTTTTCTAGGCAAAAATTTTATACAGTTTCCGCAACTCGATGGCTCCCGAAGTAAAATGTTTTCCTGGTTCTTCGGAATTTGACTTGAAAAGGTTCAACTGTGCAGTATTACTGACCTTCGGGCTATTTTTTTAGACTTCAAAGCATATTTCTTAAAGATTTTGCTGCTGGATTACAGAGCCGTTTTCGTGATGTACAATATTTCCATGTTGGAATCTTCTTTTTCAACTAAATGCCGCGGACTTACTCATTGTTGTAATGAAGAATGCCCTCCATACGTGATCCTGTTCTTCTCCAGCTTGGCGTGTTTTCATTTTGGAACGTATTTATGGATTGTGTCTCACCGATCCACCACCCTGTCGTATTTAGGGTGATCACATTTCTGTTGGAGCATTTATTTTTTGTCTTGAGGGTAATCTTTGGAACCGAATTTTATTCCTGCGATTGAGCTTTTTTGTGGGAGCGAGTTGGTTAGGTGCTGGCAATCGCCTGAACTACTGTACAGTAATGCCCGAGATCCTGGGTTCGGGTCTCTACCGAAAAGGCACCCAAACCTTGAGTAAGGGATGCACTGTTTTTCGTTTTGTTTCGGAAATGGCTGGCTGGCAGGCAGGCAGATGTTCGAACGAAGTTTTAAATTCTCCCTTTTTATTATGCCTGCTGTAAAGGAGGAAGGAAGGGACTGTTCCGTGTTTTATTGCCTTGTTTGTGAAGCTGTTCCGAGGAAGTTCCCCCTGAGTCACGGATTTCCTCCCTGTTCCGTCGCGGGAGTTGTTGATGATATTTTGAGGGAAATGGAGGATTTTTCTTGTTATTCTCGGTTTTGTGCCCAAGGCGCACTCAGTGGTTTTGTGCCCAAGGCGCACTTAGTCGCCTCGCCGGTGTTTTTCCTTTGAAGTTGTGTTTTTCTTCTTTGTGGATTGCCCGCTTGAAATGATTCCATGATCACCTTGAACCTTGTTTTTCACCGCGTCCCTCAAGTTACGTAATTTTGCTTAATTCTGTTGCTAGGGAATGCGAATTGCGAAGACAGGTGATGATTTTGACGAAGCAGTGGAATCAGCACGCAGGGAAGCGAAACAAGCTTTCAACGATGATGCTTTGCTGTTGGAAAGATATGTTCAACGTCCGAGACACGTTGAAGTGCAAGTTTTCGCTGATGCTCATGGAAACGCTGTGTATTTGTTTGAACGGGATTGTTCCGTTCAGCGACGGCATCAGAAAGTGATCGAGGAGGCACCTGGTGTGAGTCATTTTCCCAAATTTTTAGAGGGATTTCCGAAGAAGAATAGAAATCGAAAAAAAAGCATGACCGAACATATTTTAAATCTATTTTTTCCCATTGAGTAAGATTGGTCTCAAACTTTTTTTTCATCATCTCTTAAAGCTTTGATTTCGGTGAAATTTTCACGGTTCGCGAACGGGTGGCAAGAGCTCCGAATTTCACGGTTACAGTGCATCTGAACGTACACACACGCACTTGATGAATGAAAAGTTGCAGGAAGAAGTCACAGGGTTGCTCTGTTGCGTGATTCACGATTTTAGTTTTGTCGAAGCTTATGTGCGTTAACGTGTAGGTTGGAGTGTTTTACGAAATGGTGTACCGCACAGCAACGATTTTTAAATTGCATTCTCATGAATTGTACTGTACAAATTTTTTTTAGAACTTCTATCGGTTTTTCTTGAACATTTTCAAGTAAATTTAACCCGTGCTTTCATTTTAAATTCAGCTCAGAAGAAATGCTTCGGGGGAAAATATTGTTTTGAGTAAGGGTGACTTTCCAAGTTTATGTACAGTTGTGAAAATTGCAATTTTTTAAAACTTGAAGTTTGTCCGTCTTGCGTGGACTCGAAAATCCCTATTGAAAGATTTCCTACGAGAGATAGAGCTGATTTTGTATTACAGTTGAACCTTGTTCAAGCGAACCTCCGTCAGTTGCTTTCGTTAATGCTGAATTTGTCTTCCAGTCTCTCTCTGAATTCCCCTAAAAACAATACAAACCTCTCCCACTTGAAGCCTTTCATCCTCCTCAAGTCTCCCCAATTCGAATCTTTTGAAGGCCTTTTTGCTGTCACTTTATTAACCAAGGAAAGAGAAAGGCAATACAAAAGTCACTGGATGTGTTCAGACAGGAAGGGAGAGACTAATTGGGCAAATGGACCCTTGCCTCCAACTCCCAAGTTCAGTATCCTGCCAACTCATTTTAGAAGCAATTCAAGGCTTAGTTTATCTGCAACTACAATTCCTTCTCATTATTTTTTCTTTTCTCCTGCGCAAATAATTGTTTCCTGAACTTGGAAACCGTTTCACTTCCATGGTTGATGATTCCTTGAAGTTGGTCTCAAAATAGACTGTAATTGAATACTGTTCAGGGTAATCGTCGAAGTGTGTATCTTCTTTTGTTACATCTGCGGTCATGGAACGAAATTTACTCAAATTCCAAACATTTTCGCTCAATTTGTGAAGGAGAGAAGCCTATTGTGAATACAGTACAGTACTGTATTTCTCTTCTCCAGCCGGGTCTTACCCCGGAGGACAGGAAGGCGATTGGGGAAGCCGCTGTTCGAGCTGCCCTGGCTGTTGGGTACCGCGGGGCAGGCACTGTTGAATTCATCATGATCCCCGAGACTCGCGAATTTTTCTTCATGGAAATGAATACCAGGTTGCAAGTTGAACATCCGGTGTCAGAAATGATCACCGGAACTGATCTGGTCGAATGGCAAATTCGTGTCGCTGGAAACGAAACGCTGCCGTTGGCACAGGTTAGTACTCTTCTCTTGATTTTTTCGGGTGTTTCGATGTGTAGAACTCGATGAGAACAGAAAATGGGGATATTTTTTTCACCTCTGATCGACTGCTGGCTACGATTTTCACTCGAGGATTTTAATTTTCGCAGATTAGCTTAAAATTTGTCCGCATGGGGAGTTGGCTAACGCGTATTCGATTTCCTTCGATGGTAGGTGCCATTCCTGTTCCCTCTCTGTCAGCCCCTTTCTCTTTGTGGCCTCGCGTCAATCCTCGTCTCCCTGTCCCTTCCTCTCAAATTGTGTCTCCCTGTTCCTATCTGTCAACCCCTCTCCTCCCTGTCCGTTTCCGTCATTCCTGCAGTCTCCTGATGCTCTCAACTAGTCCCGCCTCCTCCCCCTTTCCCTCCGAGTTTCCTTGAAACGTATTGGTTGTGACTTGTGGTGAGTCATTTCTTCTGGAAATGGCGTAGTGCAGAACAGTGCCGTATGATGCAATGCGCACTTACTGCTTGATCAACGTCTGTGCCGGAAAAGGCTTAGATTTTAAGCTTTGTGGTATGAATTTGTGACAGGAGTGGATGGAGTGTTAATCATGGCGGAAAAATGATTAAACGTCTGCTGTTACCATAGTCAATTCTAGTGAATCCGAGTTTATTTCCTGTATGGATGAACGAGGTTAAGCGGCGATTATGTGGTGATTTTCCTCCACTCCTATTGTTACGTCCATATTTATTCTGAACGCACGTATTTCAAGTGATCTGATACGAAGCAAATGGCGGGATCCAGTTGATCTTCGATTGAAGTCTGGCTTATGATCACGTGCCCCTGCCTGAATTACTGGCCTCTTTTCACGTCGTGCGAAGAACCATTAATCTTTTCGTGATCACTGTGTTACCGTATTTGAGTGAATTGAGTCTTGTAAATCTTCGCTTCTCCGTTAGTGGAAGAACGGTATCATGTGTTGAGTTCGTGACGTTTTCCTTCTTGGTCGTGGAGGTCTGTATCGATTTATTATTCGAATAATTTGCTGTATTTTATCTGATTCATCTATTACAGCAGTCCACGTTCTGTATTTACAGTGCGAACATGACGATGTAACGCGGATCACATCCGGTTAATGGTCTCTTGATTTTAACCGTATCTTCAAGTATCATCGGTTACTGAATATTGCATCAATGAATTTCATTCTTGAAAAAAGTCAGTAATGACGTGCAGTAAATTACGTGATATTCGCCAGAAATCATGATGGGTAATCAGCCGATCAGAGGGGGAATGAAGCAGCTCCTGTCGTGCTGACGAGGCATGAAGCACTTTTTTCTTAATCCAGAATGTTGAAAAATTCCCTTAGGCTTTTCAGCCGAAGTTCTTCTGCGAGTGGGATGGTGTTATCCGTTTTATACTGAACATGAATTCCAAAAATAGGAAGATATTAAGCTCAATGGACACGCTTTCGAAGCACGGATTTATGCGGAGGACACGGATGCCAACTTCATGCCTGCTCCCGGGAAGCTGGAGCACCTGGACGTATCCGGTATTGCACGATTATTTGGCGGAGATGTCGGCCCGAACTCCGTTAGAGTGGAAACGGGTGTTCGGGAGAAAGACGAAGTATCCATTTATTATGATCCTATGATTGCGAAACTGGTGACCTGGGGACCCGATCGTCAGACTGCACTGGCGAAACTCACGCAGTCTCTCGCCGAATTCCATGTAAGTATGTTTCATTTTTTTTTTTGATGAGCCGAAAAAGTGTTATTTCTGCGAGAGAAAACAATTGTCTGGTCTTGTTTTCTCAACGTTTCGAGATATCCGGGAATTTCAGTTGGAAGATTTTTACTTTGATAATACTGTATTTTGTATTGCGTACTACCAAGTTATTAATATCAAATCTGCTGCTTCTTCGATTTTCAACTGCGGTCCTCACTTTTTCAAGTACAGTAGATGAAAGCAATGATGGTAATCTTGCTTGAAGTGAGAAATCGGAAATTCATCGTTTTTTTCTTGTAGGTTGCTGGATTGCCAACAAATGTCAACTTCCTACTGAGGTTGGCCAAGCATGAAGCTTTCAAAGCGGGAGATGTTTCTACTTATTTCATCGACGAACACAAGGATGATGTTTTGCCTGCGAAACCTACTGCCCCGTTGACTGCCGTTGTCAAGGTGAGATTTGTTGATTGTATCCGAGTAGTTTCTTGGTGAACCGGACGATTACCCTTGAGATCGAAAAAGATGCCGCGTAGATTACCTTCTGTACTGCTACGCACTCCTTCCCGTAAATGACGCACTAGACCGGGAAAAATGCAGAAATTTTTCTACACTGTAGACCGGTAAACGGAGGGATAGTTAATGCGTACCACTCTTGAAAATCAAGGAGACATGACTGCAGTTTTGATGGGTAATGCCTGTATTCCGTGAACAAATTTTTGTTTTGATTATCCGTAACATGACTCGGAGGGGTCCCTGTTTTAACCCACACCGCATTCGACTAGCGTGACAAGAAACTCTTGATGAACACGGTTTCGGTAAACATCTCTGCAAAATCCGCGATCGTCGCGAGAGACTTACAAATCGGCGTCGCTGCTCCGATGAATACCCTAGCGACTAGCATTCTAAATGACGAATAAACCCCGTCTCCCGGAACCCCGAACCCTCTTTGCATCCGCATGTAGTCCAGCAATGGGCCAGCCATGGTTCGAAGCCAGCTGGCGACGGGTTGACTGGCCCGGGCTGCAGCCACTGCGGGTCCAGCGAGTAGTCGGTACCCGCGAAGGGTTTTTGGGTCGTGGGACTCGAGTACTGCGCCGAATTCCGCGTCCGCTACAAATGTTTCGAAGTCCAGGAGACCCTGACGAAATAGTTCTGTGCATACCACTGACTTCGATGCCAAATGTTTGGATAGGAATGTGCCCCAGACGTTTCCGCAGGCATTTCCAACATTGGCTCCACATGGCGGCAAACATGCCACTCCCTGTTTGAAATACCGGTACAATGAAATCCCGTTACAAGGAGATCACAAGTAATTCAGAAAGAATCGTCATTATGAGTCTCACTAATTTTTTTCAGCAGTCAGGGCTCTAATGCGGTGGGAAGCGGGTAATCAAGGCCCCTTTACTTTCATATCAAATGTATGAGGTCTTAAAATTTCCCACTGAAGTATTTTTGATGAATTACAAAGGAAAAGTTCAAAATACCTTTTCTTTAGACCTTTTCATCTTCTGTTTCCTGAAAATGTTCTGATGTACCAAGATACAGACGAACTTTGAGAAAATTGTGCGACCAACGTCCCTTCAAAATTTTTTGGAGAGAATTCCCATTTTTGTTACCAAATATTTTTATTCGGTATTTTTATCCGCGAATATTTTTATTATTATTTTTCATTTCCCACTCCGTGACGTTGAACATTACCTGGTAATCGACGTCACTTCTGAGGAGTACACAGACTGTACATCCCAAAGTGGTTCCCATGCAACCCATTATATTGGGTGCTATATCGGCCAGAATCGTTGTCAGGCTGCCGGGTTGCCGGTTGAGAATCGCGTACATCCAAGCGGAACCGTAGAGGTCAGCTCTTTTTTGTCTGGAATAATTCGAACAAATAATGTAATTTAATTTTTTGCGTTCCGCGCGAAATTTCGGCACCTTTTGTGTTCCGTTTCGGATGAATTTTGATTCTTTGTGAATGAAGATTTGCTTTGATCCGGAACTTGGACGGCGTTTTTCAGCAATTTGAGTAGCTGTCGCTGCTTAATTTCCCAATCCGCAGCTGATTCGGAATGTTTTGAAATTTCGTCAGACTTCTGTTCAATCAAACGAGAATTTCCGTATAAATAATTATCACAGCTAGTTTGCATTTTGCTGGGGATTTTTTATTTTATTTGCTGATCAAATGCTGCGTTTTCCCGAAATTTCACGCGAAAGTTTACTCATTCCAACGAAAAACTGCGAAGTGAGACCCGTTTTTTAATCCCGTTCTTTCAAGCCGGAATAAAAAAAAATCCAGATGAAGTATCGGGTGAGTTCGAGCGGAATTACATATTGGCTTGAAAATTGATGGAACATGGGACTGCGGCGCGTGGCAGGAATTAAATACAGTACAGTATTACTACTAATGTATTACCGTATACAGTACAAAAATCCTCCCACAACCAAAAAATTGGTCCTTCGGTGGGAACCGCAGAACCAAGAAACGAGTCCCGAAAGACTGGTATTACCATGCACAGTATCTTCCATTCCAAGGAAATCAACTTTTTCTTTCTTCTCTCTTCTCCAACTGAGCGGATTTTCCTATTCCACTTCCAGTTCTTAGTGTACAGAGCTCGAAACGGCATTTAATCTCATCAAAAACTTCATTTGTGTTGTGTAAACGCGTATGTGTGTGAGTTTCAAAGTTCTTCGAGTTGAATAATGTTTTGTTGGGACCAAATAAACCCTGGTTCTTTTTGGAGCCCCACAAAGATGCTCAGGCTGATTGTTGGTTTTTCTTTTTAAATTCTCATCACTTTTCTGTATGGAGGAACATCTAATCCCTAATAATTGCTCGTACTGTACATGCTTTTTCTCTTGAAATGGGTGCAAAAAGTCGGAAGACTTTTAAAGGGCTTGCTAAATTTGCAAGTAAGCGGGATGATTGGTGTCAACCAGATAACTTCATGAAGGCAAATTTTCGGAAATTGAATTGAAGTACAGTACTGTACCAGTTCTGGCACAAACAAGATTTTCAAAAAGTCTTCTCTAATTTGAGGAAAATGACTTGTTGAGTAAAGCATAAATGGAATTGACGGATCCTTCGAACACTCACTGAATTCAATGCAGTGAACTAGATCTTGCAATCGGAATAAAATATTTTTCATAATTTTTATACACAAGAAAATATGTATGCTTCTTTATTCCAGTAAACATGCCTCTATCATTCTGTGGGAATTTTATGCTGTTCATTCTTTAGAAAGCTTTTATAAAAAATTTGGCTACATACAGTACTTACATTAGCCGGTTATTGACTTGGAGAACTTTTTTAATCGATTATTTTTGGTGAATAAAATTCGCATTTGCTGAAGTTGCCAGAAAGACGAACCTTGTTTTCGAGTGTGATGTCTTCTGTAAGTCTTTCCGAGCATCCGAAAAATTGACCTTTCTTTCCGAGATTTGATGGACAAGCTAACGCGTAAACAACTTCCGTCTTCGTTGTTTTGCATCCGGCTTCAATCCAGAATCCTCCCGAATTACTCAATAGAACCATGAATGGCAGTTTGCTGACCAAGTACCGTTTTTTGGACAATTCGAAAGTCCACGGGTCGTATGAACTAAGTTGAACCCAGCTATCTTGGTTTTGACATTTTTCTGAAATTTTCTGGTCCACGAGTGATTTCATCTGCTCACTGAGAAATATCTCCGCTGCAGGAATTTTGCCCATTTTCGTGTTTCCCTCATTTTCCGGTGAGCAAGATTTTAGTGGCCCATCCCAGACCCATGGACTCGATTGCACCACTGACACGAAAGGTTCTGATTTATGTTGAAGGATTTTCGGCTGATAAAATGCCTGAATCAGGTTGTCCTTTCGTTTCGAAGAACTGTGGAAATCGTTCTTGATTATTGATTGAACAGTCTTGTAAATCACTGCTGATGTCGGGGGACATTGAGGCAGTCTATTGAACAGGCGACGGTTTGTGGGCGTATTCCAGTCCGTGCCAATGTATGCAACTGTGTGCAAAGTGACGTGTTCTGCGAAAGAGCGAGTATCAAATACCGTATTTATATTCAGTGAAACGCGTAGGTTTGGATTTTAGCTCAAATTTTGCAAAAATGCCATTCCCGCCTAAGACGCGCACCTCATTTTTCTTAAGTTACCGAATTCCCTTTTTTCTTCCTACTGTGCATGGGTTGAAAATCTGAAGGCAAGTACACTTGCAAGTAGATTTGAACGTTTATATTATTGTTTCTTGCAAATTATGGAATTATTCAAGTCTGAGAATTTTGAAAAAAGTGGCAAGAATTGAAAGCTGCGTCCCCCTCAAAATATGCGGTTATTTCCGTGTTTTTTTTTCTCCTTACCTGCGGTTTCTAGAAAAGTTCCGACGATGCTTTCAACTTCCATTCCTTGGAGTGTGTGTAGATGCAAAGGAGTTTTCTTGTGAAGAAATTTCTTGTTCAAAAATTTCATAATTTCCGTGAGAGTGACGGAATCGAGGTTGACGAGCTCCACTTGAGATCCATTTTCTTCCGCCTTTTCTAAAGCTTCAGTGAGTTTATTTTCATCCTCGGGTAGTGAAAAACTTTTCTGGATTCCCAAAAAGGGCATTTTTTGCTGAATCTTTTCCACGCTGAATTCCCATGCGATTTTGGCGGAAATCCCGGATGAAGTTTCTGATGTAATTGGGAAAATTGTGACGGAATTGTTGTGAAGCATGGGTGAGGACATTTGACAAAACTTGGCCAGAATCGCGTCGAAATATTCCTCTTCATCCGGGATCAAATTATGTCCAGGCAATCTTGAATTAATTGGGGAAATCGGATGGAATTTAATGTCTTTGTAAATTTCAGGATGTGACGATAGTTCTTTTGCAATATCTTGAGCCGAACTTGCGGAAGGTCCGATGAAGTGTTGAATTCCTCTCGCTGCCAATATTTTGAATTGTTCCAAAGTGTCCGCGCTTTCAGATGACATTTCTAATGTTGGATTTTCTCCGAAAATCCAATTGATGAACGTGTTTCTCGAATCTTTGATTGCAAGTTCAGCTGACGAGACCAGACACTTCATTTCAGGCTCACCAAAATCTTGACTGTCCAGCAGCCAGCCAATTTCTTTGAAAAGAGAGTAATTTTCATTTTGGCTTAGAGTTCATTTTTCTGAAGGGACTCACTTTTTGTGTCCGCATTTGACGGGTTCAGCATTGCGGAGAATCCGAGCATGACGAAGATCATCTTTTCCATTTTGAAGAAACTGAAAATATTTTTCTGAAGGATATTGGAAAGAATGATGAAGAATTGCGATCTTATATTGGAGAAAAATGGTCGACTTGGTTGTGATCAGAAAACCTTGTCGGTATCCTTGGATGCCCGTTTTTACATGAATTAATTTATAAAATCTGTTCTACTTTTTTGAGAACTTCTCCCGTTATTATGGGATTTTCCGTCAACCTGACTCTACTTCGAAGTTTCAATTG